TCAAACTGATTTTTAGCATTGGCTTACAAAAATAGGGAAGTTTAACCATGTTTACAGTATGTATTTCCCAGAACCTTAAGCCCTAAAAGAAGTGCAGTTATACTCAGCAGCCATCTCAGCTGTAACCCGCTGGTGAACTTTAACATTATGGTATGTCTTCCATGTGTCAGATTTAATATCCATTGCTGGCATGTCTTATGGTTTAGGTGGGCTCTCACACAGGCAAAACTTCGACTGAATTGGAGGTATCTTGTATACATTGCAAGTGGATGCTTGTTTAAAAGCTTTCGTGTTGATATACGTCTAAAAGCGTAGGTATCGATATACATATTTAATCGAGATTAAACTGGTATGTTGAATATTTTACTCTGCTTCATGTAGTTTCCCCAGCGCTTTCCTGCCGCTGCCCAGGGACGGCAATTCTGCCGTCAGCCACAGCGGGTCACTGCGGGCTGATGCTCCCCTCTGCAGGGCGAGCAGGAGCAGGCGAGTGCATCCCCAGTCCAGAGTCATCACTGAAGGTGAAGGCTGCTAGAGCGGGGTGTCCAGAGGAAGGGCATGCTCTACACATAAGAATGCTGGGTAAAGGCATGTGTATATCAATGTAAGATTAACTGAAGCTCCATATTCCTTCTATAATACTGCTCCTGGTAAAGAGACTGTAAAATCATAACGTTTTGCACAAATCCACTGGCAAGTGTCCTTGTCCCTGTCTCTCTATAACATGCAAAGTACCAGCTCTCCATGTTACCCATTTGTCTTTTGCTGACACGCTCACTGAACACAAACCAGTATTTCATAGCTGGAATGTATTTCATTAGCCTGAGCTTTGCCAGCAGCAGCTGTTGGAGGGTTCTGTGCTAACAGTAAAACTCGCCACGCTTTTCTGTCTGGCTGCAGGACTAAAAGGTGACAGCTCTAAAGGTTTCCATTTTCCCCAAATATTAGCACAAGGCTCCTTTTGTTATCCTCACATCTCCTCATTCTCCTCAAGCCGCTGTCAACTCGTTCTGACGTCTGGAGTAGTAGACTAGAAAGAACACTGAAGAGCAAGCTTGAGACACACGTTTCAGACTCCCCTTCAATAAGCAGACCCCCCTTGCACAGCACAGTCTCTATACTGTACTGGTAACTGCAATTTTAAGCTAGCACGATGAGGTATCAACACTTATGCAAAATGAGCTGCAAAATCCATGCAAAGAACAGGGTGTATCAGCTTCTATCAACTTCATCTGTCTTCCAGCTCAGTTATCTCTACATATTATTGCACTCACAGCTACAAATGCACTGAAGACATCTTCAGAGCCATAGCTGGAGTGGAAAGGGGAGAAATAAGGAGCAATAAGAGAAATATAAGGTATACAGAGGATGCTTCACCTCCCCAGGTCTCTTCTCAAACAGCACACAGAATTTTACCCTTGTTTTATTGTCCCAGAGGCCTTGAACTCAGCCAAGGATGTATTCAAGCTTCCCTGGGCAACCTGTGCCAGTGCCTCACTACCCTCACAGGGAAGAACTTCCTCCCTATATGATTATAGTACTTTAAATACATGTGGTATATATTGGCTTGTATTAATACACAAAAACTTATGATGATTTAAATAAAATTAGGCAGAAATCTCACAAAGACATTTGGGTAGGCCATGATATAGTCCAGTTAACTCAGTTGTATCTCCAACTATCCATTACCTCCCAATCCCATGTTTTCCTTTTCTTTGCAGGGAAGTAACAAGTTTGAGTCTCCCATGGCACGATCCCCTCACTGAGTCCCATGTCCCATTTGCTGCCTGTGGAACAAATTTTCTGTGCCATGTTCCACCTGGGTGTACTGGGGTAAGCTGACATCTCCTCTCCTCACAGCTCCACTGTGCTGCTTTCCTCAGGTCTCGAAATTGCTTTTAGTTAAGATGTGTGTTAGGATAGAAGGAAACAAGTTGTCCTTTGAGGTGCTGGGGGTTTTGTGCTGCAGTGAAAACTGCGTTATAGAAAGGGAAATTCTGCTGAGCTGTCAAGAAAATGAGGAGCAGCAGTAGATAAAATCCTGATTTCTCTCAGAGAGGCTTAACACAGAGTATTGCTACAGCAGCAAGCACAGCTGAGAGAGTCACAGCTTAATAGTTGGACTTATAATAGAAATGCCCATAGCATTCTTTTAAAGCAACTACCATGCATGTCTCATTCCAGATGAAATTTGATTACAGTATTATGATGTCCTGTAAAGAGGCTTCATTCTGCTTGGGTTCATTGCCAAGCAGCTCCCACTACACCATAACTGGAAGGAATACTGTTGTGGTATTAGGAGTAGTTCTCTTTTTCAGCTTCCCTCTGTCTCTAACAGTGCTGGGAATGACGGGGGGCATTAGTATTCTGGTGAAGGCAGGCTGTGACAAAGGCTGTGACTAAGGGGCCTCCTGACTCCTCTGTGGTGTTGCCAGTGATGTAGAGGGGACGGGCTCCAATTGCACCGGTTTTGAATTAGCCCTGCCATGGTACAGAGAAAACAGAGGCACGATTCACAGTGCGGGCATGATGCCTCCGGCTCTGCAGGGCTAGCTTTGCACTTCATGTGGGAGAATGGTACCAGGTGAGCAAACATGTACCTTCATACAGGGATCGCAGATGTTTGTGTGCCAGTTTGTGTGTGAGTGTGTGCATGTTCATTTTAAAAAGGACAAGCTATATCCCAGTATGACCACATCTTGTCTCCTTTCTGCATGTGTTCCCCTGGCAGGACTTGGAAACTTCATGCAGGACGTGCTGTGGTGCTTTAGTCAAGTAAAAGGAACTATAGATATTGGGGTGGCAGAAGGTAAGTTTGTTTTTCCTTTTGTTTCTGCAATCAACAGGGACTCGATTGTGATGTATGTTTTGCCCAGTCAATATGCGGGGTGTGTGTGTGTGTGTGTGTGTGTGTGCACGCTATTCGCGTGTTGGTGAGAACTGCTGGCAAAGTTACACTCCTCCCATTCTGCCTTCATTATGTTCTTCTGTGTTTGAAAGAGATGGGTCTCTAAAATGAGCTATATTAAGCATCATGGCTTAATCACATCTACAGTCTTTGAAATAGATTTCCTTTTAGTTTTCAGCTGTTATTTACAGAATTTTTCAGGGAATTGTGAGACAGCTTCTCCCATTATGACATCTGTGACTGGAATCAGTTGGATTCTGTTTCTGGCTAACTTAAGTGTAACTTGGTGCTTGTCCTTGTATCTGGAGTTAAAATAAATTGCAGAGCATACAAATCTACAGACAAGAATCTGTGTGGGATGGACTAATGTGGGCAGTTGTGGGATTTGGGAGCACAAAGACATCCCCTTCCATGCTCAGTAGCTTTCAGGGTGGTTTGTGCTCCTCACTCACTTAGGCATTTCTCCCTCTACAAGTGCATCTGTTCGGCATTTAGCCAAGATGTGGACTGCAAAACCATGGACAATTGAAAAGAACTAAATGCATTCAATTTTCCTGACTTTAAAGTTAAATTTATGCATTCAACTTCTTTGTAAAACTGTTCTGGTTTGAGAGTCTTAACAGGCATTTTCCTACATTTTCTTATTCCGCATTTTTGTCTTCCTTTCTCTTATTGTATTGTCCATTAATACATTAGCTCTTTTCCCTTTCCATTTCATATTTTATTCCCATTTCTTTACCCTTCAAGGATAACTGAAGCCTTGATCCCATCTCTCTTCTCTTAACCCTCCCAGTAGAAGTAATGGTTTTACATTTTGTACAGTGCGTATGGTAAAACACTGGCACAAGTTGCCCAGAGGGGTGGTGGATGCACATCCCTGGAGAAGGAGCAGGCTGGGCTGTGTGTGGTGGGTGATTGCGTCGGTGGCACAGCAGTGGTGCTGGAGGTGACATCCCTGTGTATCACGGTGTGCACTGCCCTGTTCTCACAGTACACACCTGCCTGGGCAGAGAGTAAACTGCATGCAGAGAAAGGGGAGGTTGTGACTTCAGAGACAGACGCTCATATTTGCAGCCAGTGTATTAAATAACCTCATTGTTGAGTCATACACGAACACATAAAGTGACTTGCCATGAAAAGTGCTTTATGAAAAACTGTCTCGTTTTCTGGCATGGACCTGAGGTACCCAATAGCACTTATCTTCCGCATTCACTCTGTGTGTTGAGTGAGCTCAGTCCTGTTTGGTTTCCACAACCAGAGAAAGCATTTTAAGTAAAGAGAAAGATACTGTAGTGAAACAGAACGTCTCTCTTCTGGCACAGGTGCTCTGCATTTAAGGGGTATAAAGGCAGTCGTGCTGCCACCTGCCGAAGGCAGTACGATTAGAAAGACTGCAGCCAGAAGAGGAGACCCAACAGGAAAACCACCTGGGGTACCACATGAGCCAGCAGCGGCACGCAAGAGCAGTGAGCGGCTTGGTCCTAGGTCAAAAACTTGTCTGTAGAGTAATTAAGGAGCCCGAAAACAAAGGGGTGAGTGTTAGCAGGGCGTTATTTCCCTCCACTTGCTCCCTTGAGGTTGTGCTTTTATGCTATCCTGTGCCCCTGAGCAGGCCATGGCAGAGCGTGGAGTGTGCTCAGATGCAAGAGGTTTCTGCCTCGAGCAGCGGGTTGTGGTTGGAAAGGCGTTAGAAACACTGACCGGGGTCAGTGCTGCCGGCTCAGATGGGTGCACAGGGGCCCGAGTCCGGAGCACTGCCTCGAAGGGGCCGTGCCGTAGCAGAAAGCGTTTTCCCGTCGCGGTTGGATGTGCGTGTCGTAGCGCAGGCGTCCCCCTCCCCGTGGTTTACTCTGTTCCGCGGCGGGCCCTTGGATCCGGCGCCCACTTGGGGAGCAGCGGGTTCCGCGGTGCCGGAGCCGTGGGGAGCGCTCGGGGAGGAAAGCGGCTTTACCGCAGGCCCGGCACTCCTGTCCTCGGAGCATCTCCCTCCCGCTGCCGCCCCCCGCGCCCTGCCCGGTGCTGGGGTGCGGGGTGTGGACGAGCAGGGCGGGCTGAGTCAGCGCTGCCGGCCGCACCTCTGCCGATGCGGCGGGGCCGGCCGGGCCGGAGCGCTCGGCTCAGCCGCCGAGCCGGGGGCGTGGGGTCCCCCCGGGCAGCTCTCCGCAGAGGGTCCCCGCCGTGTAGGCTGCCCTGGCCTCGGGGGTCCTCATGGGCTGAGCAGCGGCTGCGTTCCTCCCCTGCAGGGTTTCTTTGGCGGCTTGCGTGTTCCTCGGTCTCTGTATGGGTTTGTTTCCTCTTTCCCCACTCGCGGTTCGGAAGATGAAATGCTTCTCCCGGTACCTGCCGTACCTCTTCCGGCCGCCCGGCGCCGTCCTCTCCTCCAGCTGCCACTCGGAAGGTACGGGCAGCGCGCGGCGGGACCGGCGGTAACGGGCCGCTCGTCGGGGCGGGGGGCGGCCCCGTTTGTCGCTGCCGGCCCTGCGCAAGGGACGAGCAGGAGGACGGGGCCGGGGGAGACGTTCCGGTTGTGGTGCTGGGCGTTTGTCGGGTTTGTGAATGTGGCCTTTGGGTCATCTGCCTGTTCCCGGTAAAATGAAACCGTCGTGTGCAGCGCTGCCTGCTTTTGGTTCCCGGCGCCCTTTCCCTCCTTCCGTCAAGCCTTTTCCCAGGTCTTGGCAAAAAGAGCTCTGCGGTATTTGGGAAAACCCAAGTGTTCTCAGCAGCGTTTGAACGCTATCCTCTGTGTAGGAATTCACAGAACCGGGTCTGTGTTGGCTGAGGCTCCCTTCAGGGCACTTCTCCAGCAGGAAGGGCTCCGTTCCGGTGCACACCCCCCCCGCGGTGCCTGTGTTTGCTGTCAGTCAGCTTTGTGAATCATCTGCAGCCGTGCAACCAGCTCCTTGAGATCAAAATTTCATATCACTGCTCCTCCCCTACATGGAACCACAGCACTATTCCTTGTGTGCCCTAGCCACCCAGAGCTAGCTGATGAAGCAAACCCTTTCTTGATACCCAGCTTTCTACAGACATGTTCTTGTGGTCTGTGTCTGTGCATGGATGGATCTGTCGGCCGCACCCATAAGCCACGGGAAGATCCAGCTGGATGCAGCAGGGATGTGTGCTATGGATGGTTTGGAGAGGACTGGCTCTAGTCTCTGCCCACAGTGTGTCTCTAGTGAAAGAGAAACTCCATGGGGAGCACCTACCATGACTCCTGATGCCGTGACCTGGAATGTCCTAAGGCTGAAGATTCAGAGTGGGAGGGTCAGGCTGGAGGAACTGGGCAGAGGATGATGTTTGAGGCTAAATCATTACATCTCCTGTGGCTGCTGTTTTAGTCCAAGCATACAGTATAGAGGTTTTGGTTTAATTTTATTTTCTCCAGAGTTCTAAGTAGATAAAATTAACCCTGTCAATAACTTGTCCTAACTCTGGAATTCTTCCTTTGAAAATTTCTTTTAGAGGATACTCAGCTAGGTAACCTCCAGGGGAAAAAGCCTTTGAATTAAGAAAAGAATCCTCTTTCCTGCAGATGAGGAAGCAAGCACAAAGATGAGTTATCTGAGGTCATACGATTGCCAGACTTTGAGTCATGCATACATTTTTCATCCAGAACTCTAACAGAAATGTATTTTTGTGCCATTTTCTGGGCAGGGTTTGAAACGTCACCTGTTCTGCAGGTTTCATGGGTGATCAGATGAGTGATCATTATATCCTCTTAAAACCTGCTGTTGTTCTTAGGAGATCTTTAACTGCATTGTTAATTTGATAGGACAACAACTTGAAATCATTTTCAGTAACTTCCAGATTTTTCTGCCTGTTTGAGCAGCCGCCTGGGAGTTGCATGAGTGCAGAGCAGCTGCAGTGCTGGGCAGAGACAGGATGGAAGGCACTTTAATAAATAGATCTTAAATAATCATTGGTGTAAATATTGTGCGTTTGAAGATGAATGTGTCTTTCAAGGCCTGTGAAGAACAGCCGGCACCCGTGCCCGGGGGCTCTGCCCGAGCTGCAGCTGCAGCAAAGGCACAGGGCAGTGACTATTGGTGAGGATGGGCACCAGCCCGTAGTGCAGCTCCACTTTGCCCTGGTACAGAAAGCCTTTGTCCCCATCCCCATCATCGAAGACAGAGGGCAGAGCCTGCTGAGTTATCCTGAGGGCATGCCATGGGCAGACCCATGGCTGTCAAACCCGACCCAGGGTGGTGCCCACAGCTGCGGCTGTGCCAGACATGAGTCTGAAGGGAGCTGGGTGAGCAGCAACGAGCTCTGCTCCACTTCCAGCAGCTGGGAGCTTCACTGAGGTCCTGACTTGCCCTGGAGTAAACCCACATAAATTGAATTTGAAGCAGCTTTAATACTACAGAATGGTATGTGCATTAGAGGTACAGCAAGATTGTGTAAGTATGCAAATATGGCTTGGTGTAACTAATAGTCTATAATTATGTGAAGAGAGGCCATTAGTTTAGGGCTGATGGAGGAGAACACTGAGTTAAGATTGAGCTTTCTGCAATAATTGCATTTCCTGATTTAGCTGTTCTTTAATTTCTCTGTCTGAATGCCACACCAGCCCTTGCTTTTTAGAGAACATCAGACTTGCTGTCATCTCAGTTCTTACATTAATCAGGACTTGCATCTCATGCAGGAATCCGACTGCCTGGTCTGTCCTTTCCATGACAGTAAATGAGCATAACATTGTGTGGCCATGGAGGAACGGACTGTTGCTCGGGGGGAAAAGAGGTGAATTCCCTATCCAAAATGTTAGGCATGATGGATCATGGTATGTGAAACTATTTCTCCTCCCAGCGAACTTATGGCTGTGTTTCTGTTACCTCCAATTCCCTTCATTTGTGGAGGAGGCATATTGCAGAGCCCTGCCCAGCTGTTCCAGCTGTTGCATACAGAGCTCTCTTACAGTTACACTATTCGGTGTATTTCTTTGGCCACAGAACACAGATCCTCGGTTTCTGTCTGGGCGGTGATGCTCTGGGGGCGCTCTCACGGGGGAAAACGCGAACGAGCCTCTGTGACAGATGCGACTTTTCCTTTCGGAGCTCAGCTTGAAGTCTCCCGGCTTCTCCCTGCGCTCGGGATGGGTTCACGCTGTGACCTTTGGGCCGCTCGCAGCGCAGGCACTTGGGACACCAGCGGCCGCGCTCCTCGGCTTCTCCCTGCGCTCGGGATGCCGGCGGCAGCGCACGGGCGCCGGGAGTGTGCGGAACGGGGCGCTCGTGGCTCGTCGGGGCTCATCTCGAGCCGTTTCTGAATCGGAGAAAGGGAAACGGGCCCGCGCCTCCCCCGGCCGCGCCGGTGCCAGCCCCGGCAGAGCCCCTCGGGCCAGGCTGGGGTCGCACCTGCCCCGCTCGGTGCTGGGGTGAGGGTCCGGGGCGGCCTCACCGGGTGCGGGGGTCCCCCCGCCGCTCTCTGAGCCCCGCTGGAGGTGGCACCGGCCGCTCCGGCTCCTCCTTTCGCCGCTCCCTCGCGGGACACCGACACCGTCACCACCCGGCCCCGGGGGGAACGGGGCTGGGGAGCGGCCATGGCAGCTGGAGCGGCTTCCTTGTAGTGACAGGCCAAGGGCGAATGGCTTGAACCTGCCAGAGAGGAAATTGAGCTGAGCTCTTAGGCAGAAGCTCTTCCCTGTGAGGGTGCTGAGGCGCTGGTACAGGGTGCCCAGAGACGCTATGGCTGCCCCATCCCTGGCAGTGCTCAAGGCCAGGCTGGACACAGGGGCTTGGAGCAAGCTGCTCCAGTGGAAGGGGTCCCTGCCTGTGGCAGGGGTTGGAGCTGGAGAAGTTTTAAGGTCCCTCCCAACCCAAACCAGTCTGTGAGTCTAATTCTCCACTAAGAAACTGATGAGGTGTTTTTATAAAAAATACTTTCAAGTGTGACAGTTTTATCCTATCCCTGGAGCAGCTTGACCACGGTTTTTGTGTGGGGCTGTTGCTCCTGGTCCCACTGACCAGCCACCTCCAATTTAGTTCCTGGGCTGCCTGGGGCCAGGGCTTCACGCTGTTCTGCACATCAAACCACCCCAGCAATAGGAAGAGTGGAGTTAAGCTCACACATCTAAGGCTCTAGAGATATTTCTGTTATGTGACTCTATTTCATCCACTGCAGATGGGTTCAGCTGTAGCCTCACAGTGTTCCTGTGTCATCTATATTTAGTTAGTGCTTAAATCAGCACAAAGGTACCTTCTGTCAACCCTCCCGCTCTGAATTCAGAGACCTGATTGCAGTTCGGGGTTGTGCAGATAGAAACACTTTGGAGCAGGGGGGTGGGATGCAGCTGCTGGGCTGAGCTTCCGAGCAGGGTGCTTGCAGCAGGCTTGGGGTGGGGTCAGTTCAGGCACTGTGGGGAAAGCAGTTGGTGAGTGGTGAGCACGGGCAGGGTGGCCTCCCTGTGAGAAAAATCAGGGAAATTGTCCCTGCCACACACAGCTTTGCCCGTGTGCCTGTGGGATTGCTGGATCCACTTCCCCAGCACCATGGGCTGTGTTCGGCACAGACCACAGGCACAGCTCTGGGACTATGACCAGGCCTAGAGGTGGTTCAGCTGCTGTCCTGGGCAGGCAGAGCTGATGGTGAATGCCCAGTGACCACCTCTCAGTTCTCATGTGCTCTCTGCACTGAGCCCACACTGGGATGTCGCAAGTGGGCAGTGGGCACAAAGGGCCACCAGTCCATGTGTAGAGATGGAGAAAGCAGTCCCCAAAGCAATAGTCTGGGGTTTAGCCTTTCTCTCCTCTGCAGGCAGCTTTGCTAAAGCAAGGTCAACAAAAGCATCTCAGAAATCCCTTCAATGTCATGATACTGTGGTGAAGCTGTGCAGGTGTAATTGCTGTACATGAGGCCCCATTCTTGCCAGGAAAGCCTTGGATGCACCAGTGACTGTGTGACAGTAACTCAACCAACCATGTGTGATACTGTACTCTGAATAATTTTCTAATGTGGATTATAAAAGAAAGACAGGCTGTCGTAGGCTGATCTTGCTATATTTGGGAAATAAATGCACTATCAGCTTTGTAAAGCCATATGGTGGATTTATTCACAATCAGCAGTTCCTTTCAAATGCAAGTTCATGGCAGTCAGTAAGACATTTTCCAGCATACAGCTCAGCACTCTCTTTTCCTTTTTCCTTTTTCCTTTTCCAGCATGTGATCAGAGGGCCAGCGCTGGAGCTCTGGGCAGCACGTCTTCAACAGTAGACTTAATCACACACATTAGTGAGTTCTTACAAACCTCTGTGGACTTCATCACCGGTTTTCATCCCTGCAGGTTTCCAGTACTGCTTTTCCCCCTTTCTGCACAGTGTTGCACGACAGTGTGACTTTCTTCTGGAAATGGGGCTTGTGAGACCACTGTCGCCATTGGACCCCCTCATCTCTGTGACTTCTGGCACTTGCTCCCACACACCAGCCTGGGCTGTGGGCTGGAGCGTCCCCCTGGGGCCTCTCTGGCTGTGCAAGGAGCGATATGTGCTCGGCAACTCATCATTGCAGCACTCAGTCCTTGCCTGTGTATTCCCTTGGTACTGTTGCTGCATGCCAGGGTTTCTCTTGATACACCCTGGCTGATCTTGGCCACAAATCTTTCCCTTGTCCCTGTTCTAGCTGCTCTGCCTGCCTGGATAATGACACACTTAGAGCTAAATAGTTTCGAAAAGGCCTTTTAAACGGTAACAGATCTGTGCAGCATCTTTATAAAGGACAAGAGCAGCAGGTTGGCCTGCTGTCCAGAGCAGATATCACAGCAAATGTTTTCTGCAGCTCACACAGGAGAGGCGTCAAGAGATGCTTGTTTTCAGGAGAGATGCAGGACCACAGTGACAAGTCTTGTGCACAAGCGGGTCCAGACCTGAGGACTCCTGGTGCAGAGCAAAGAGCAAGGCTTCACCCTGTGTGGGGTAAGCGGGGCCTGCCTAGACCCACAGTGTGTCCCCAGGGGGTTCCTGTGCCTTCCCCTTTCTCCTCTCACCATGGAGGTGAACAATGCGCTGTCTTCTGGGGTGCTGTGCCCTCAGCATGAGCGCACACAACTGCATGGCAAATACACTGCCTGCAGATGAGTCCATTTGCAGTCCTGCTCGGGCTGCCCTCAAATCTTTGTCTTCTCCTTTTTGTGCTGGCTTTGTGATTTCTGAAGGGGGAGCTGCCCTTGAGAGGAAAGGCACTGCAGGTCTGCTGTGCTTGGCATCACTCTCCATGTTGTCTAAACTTAAAAGCCGTAAAAGTCACACTGATGAAATTTCATGTGTGCACGACCAGGAAGACCATGGGAGAGTTTCTGGTAGAATGTCATGGCCATATTTTTCTGACACAGAGTATGCAAGGGCAGGAGTGAGGGGAACTTTGCTATTATACCCTTGATATTTTGTTCCCATGAATTTGGGTCTCAGGAAAGCGGAGCTCTGGAATGTTT